AAGAAGAAGAGTTGCCAACCTGTTAAGAGAGAGTGCTCAGGGATAAGAGGCATTTCTTCTCAGTAAGTGTGCAATCTGTTAGGCTAGGAACAGACATTCAAAAAGCCCAAGCCTGAATTGATTCACTCTTTGCAGGTTAGTCTAAGATGCGCAGCTTAAACTGATTAATAACTGGACAAACTTTCACTGTTAAATCAGGAAATACAGGCACATGCCTGTACTGGCTCAAGCCAGAAGCTGGGGGCACTAGAGCATGCCTGCCCGCCACTGCCAAAGGGAAGGGAAAAGAGATGCCCTCCAAGACTCTCACCCCTCCCTGGTGGAGTGGAAGGGGTTTGGCCAGGCACCAGCCAAAGTGAGCACAACACATGGGATGGCAGCCATCAACTGGGAGGGACGGGGGGAGAACTGCTGTCAGACTAAGGAGTGGGGATGGGGGAAAAGTCTTTTCTCTGAAGCAAACGTGTTGAACGCAGCAATTTGCAAAGCGTACAACAGGAAACTACCAAAAATCTTTGCCGAAACTAAGATACAGCCCAGTAAAACACAGCATACACAATTTAGTCTAACTTAAAATGTAAAGCAGGAAGACAAGAAGTGGTCTTACTAATCCTGAAGGCAGACTGTCTCCTTACAGCCAGGCATTCAGAAAGGCTTTGTTTAGGTATTCCCAGCTTTTACACATTTTCCGTTATAATATAAATGTATCTCACTGCATTCATTGGTGAAGCTGTCTGCAACATCCCTTAAGTACATCTCAGGTCTTTGCCAACACTTCCCAACTCTCAGGCTGGTCCTCTTAGCTCTGGGCTCACAGGTGCATCCCTGCCTGGCTCTGCAGCCAAACACCCGGGGCTTCCAGGGGAGAGAGGTGACAGAGGAAGGTATTAACTCCATCCCTGCCTGGTTGAAGGCAGGCTGCGGCTGGCAAACCCCAGGTTTGCCCTGAAGCTTGTCAGCAGGGAAGAGGGGGCAGGGGGAGAGGGAATGGAGAGAAGAATTTGCCTCAGTGGCCATGGAAGGCCAGCATCTGGCCACACCCTGCCTCTGCTCCATCTAGAGAATAGAGGGGAGGGGGCAGCCCAGCTCACTGGAGCAGAGAACAGAGCTCCACCCAGCCCAGAGGGCATGCTGGTGGCATCTGATTTATTTTAAACCAGCAAGGGGTCTGGGACAGACATTGCATAAACCGGTTTGAGCCAAATCAGTTAAGCCTGATACTACATTCAACCAGGTTTATCTCAAACCGGATCGGCCATTTTCAAACTGGTTTACGTGCACTGACTGTCTGTTCTGCTACAGGTTTAAACCAGTTTCTGACCACTTAAAGCAGTTTATGTGTAATGTCTCTCCTTAGCCTTAAAGATTTGGACTGAGGGGAAAATGGATGAAACAAGCTTTGCTTTGTGAACTGCTGTCTTCTGACCCAATATGTGACCCTGTGCCTTCATACACTGTGCAGGCTTGGAAATGTTTGGAATATATTTGCTTCCCTTGGCCCAGAGAAGCTTTTCTGAAGGAGAAAGGGAGGGAGGAAGGGAGGGAAAGGAGGAAAAGGCTTTGAGGTTATCACAGTTTATTTACTTTAAAAAAAAACTAAGAAGAATTAGGTTGAGGAGATCAGTGATGGATCCCAAATGCTATTACACATAGGTTCTAGAAAGTTATGGCCCACACAACATCATCTCCAAAGCATGATATTACTGCTGCTAGTTGCTCTTTATCTTTCTTTTCCATCTCCCATCTCTTTCCATTTCCCAGTCCTGTACTCCATCTGACTTGTAACTAATTATTGCGGCCTCCTAGAAATGTCACAGCCATTCCTAGGAAACGCACAGGGTTGATATACACATTCAGGGAGGCTGCTCTGATGCACTCTAATTACACTGCATCAGAGCAGACTCGATTAATTGAGGCTGCTGGAGCTTCCCTGCCCCGAGCAGACTCCAGCATCACGTGTATCAGTGTCCCCACCCTGAATAATGGCAGTGGGGCACTTTAAACTAAAGCTGGTTCAATGAGCTTTAGTTCAAAGCCCCTCGCTGCCATTTTTCAGCACAAGAACACTGATACACATGATGCTCCGTGTGCTTTTAATTAGTGCAGCTCTCAGAGATGTGCTCCATAAAGTGCTCCCCACCACCTCCCAGAGCACATCTATAAATGCCCACAATGGCCACTTGGCATTTCACACTGACACTAGGGACAAAACTCAACTCCCCCTGTTCTGAAGGCACAGGCCCTTGCTGCTTGATTCGAAGGAGATTCTGTCAACAATATAGGACCCACTGCATAGTCAAACAGTTCTGATTCTCTCCATTAAAGATGCTGTTTCCTGTATATATACATTAGAGTATTATATAAATCATAAAGCTACGTGTGTGTGTGTGTGTGTGTGTGTATATATA